TTTGTTCCCATAAAGAAACATATACTCTCCTGGTATTTTATAAAATGTGTAATTGAAGGTCAGTAATTAGAATGGAAAATAAATAAAACAATTAAGAACTGTATCAGATCGAATCAAATCGTCCCTGAATCGTGTATCCGGGTTCTGTCGGAGATTCTGAACTGCTAACTTGAATGTTTAATTATTGTTGGTATGAAGAGAAAAGCAGCTCAGTTAACTGATGTTACACTTTAGTGTCGCAGTGGTTGGTTCACCTGAGACCTGCTTAAAGGTTAATAATTAATGGTTGTGTGTCGTCGTCCCTCAGATCCTGTGGTGAAGGAACACGCAAACGCCAACACAGACGGCACAAAGGCCATAAGCAGCTCCAATGCAACATGATAACCAGAGAGCAGGTAACAGATTCAGATTCTAACGATTTAACTGAGAGATTACAGATAGGTGTTTCTGTTATTCTGTCCACCCACCGGTTCATAGTGACAGAAACCTGAACCACCTTTATGTCCCAAATGTGTTCAGTCCATTTCAGACTGCATGTCAATTATTGATCCATTATTTAAGTTATTTATTTCAATGATTGATCCTTTTTTAGCTAATTATTTAATTATAGCTGCTGACTCTGTGGATATATTAGTTGAGCTACTCTACCCTACCATGTACTCCTGGCAGCAGCAGAAGTATCCCTGCAGTTGCCCCTGCAGTTGCCCCTGGTTGTGAATCCCCTCTCTGTTTAATACTCCTAACATTTCCACAGACGATCCGTATCTGAACTCTGTTTTTGTGTTTTCTTTCCGTCCGATCAGGAAGAATCTTTGTTACCTCAACTTGTGACCTTTTTCGTGGCAGAAACTTCTGCCTCCACACCAAATACTGGAGCAAGATGGTCAACTTTGCAGCATACACACAACACGCCACCGGATTAAACTTCTCCCAACAAAAACCCGGAGAATTGCGCTGCCTCCCGTCCGTGTCACAGTAAATCCTGATCTGAAATCAGACTGACCCCCCTCCTCTTCCTCCTCCTCCTCCTCTTCTCCTGCCTCCTCCCACCTCCTCCTCCTTCCTTCTTCATCCTCCTCCTGCTCCCGCCTCCTGCTCCCGACACTCCCCTCCAACCGTGTTTTTAATGAGAAAAATGGACTGTTGTTGGATCAGGTATAAGCCGTGTTGTGCTGTAAAGACGTTTTGTCCGTCATTAACGATGCTGTGGATGACCTGAGATCCCGGTTCCAGGATTTAGCACTGAGTGGCATTGGAGGCTTCTTTTCTGCTATGGATAGAACAAAAGCTAAATAATTGAAAAGAGAAATAAACCATTTTTATTTAAAGACTCCTGGTGTTGGGCTTTATTGTCTCGGCCACCAGTGTTACCCTATTATTACATGTGAAGTGGCTGCTTGTGAAAAAGGTCTGTTAATTTGGTTCTTCCATCCATTTTATGCTGCATTTCTTGCCCCAAGTCAAGTAATCTAATTAATTATAGCAGAATTTGTTCACATGTATACAGCTGGGAAGTACTAAAATTAAACTTTCATACTTTGGCTGTGAAACATTAAATTGTATGTGGTATTAAAAAGGTAAAACAGGATTTCTGCAGGTTTCAAGTCAAATTTAAGACTCTTTAAGATCAATATGAATGCAAATTTAAGAGTAAGAAATAATAAAGAGGTACCTGTGATTACATATAACAAAATAAAATGCATAAAAATAAAGTTTATAAACAAATAAGAACCAAATGTAGAAACTAACAGTTAAAGACAATGAATGAATGAAACAAGAACCTTTAATATGCAAGTTGACAGTAAAATGAGAGAAACTTTAAATTATTAACTGCAGAACTTTGTTTTTTAAACAGGTTTGATTTTATCACTATTTCAAAATAAGAGCGCACTGTTATTGAAGCTAAACTCATCCAGAATCAATGAATCGACCCTCAGACGAGCTGAAAGAATGAAACAGACCAGAGAGCTCGTTAAGTGTGTGTACTTTTTAATAAATAAACTGGAAAGTCAAGGTGTTTTTCCAGAACATAAAACACTTGTGCAACATTCGTGCGTTACAAATAGGTGCATTCGTTGAGGCGAATCCAGGCCGCGGTTGGTGAGGTCAGCAGACGACAACCTGCTCCAATTTAAAACGTCATCTGCTTACCAAAATGGCTGACATTGTAAACACAGCAGAGTGAATTTCAATTACACGTCCGGCTTCTGATCCAAGTATTTAAAATGCATCACAGAAGTAGAATTCACATTTAGTTTTTCTTTTAGGTTAAAAACTGGGACTACTGTTGCTGTTTAGTCCTTTTTTTTGTTGTGACCTGGTTTCTGCTCACAGACGGCTTGGCCCAAAATGAATGCCCTGACTGACATCTGAAGTCTTTAAGTGTCAAACACAGTAAAAAGCAGCCTACAAACACACGGCTAGCTACAGCTGATGAGCTTCTACACCCATCGAAGGCACGCCCACAACACCCCTGCTGGTCCTCCTCCGCCGGCGAGGAACGACAAAGACCGGCCGCTTCTCAAACAACCCGACAGTGTTTTCATTTTTTTTTTTTTAAATGCCACTTTGGCACTTTATCTACATGTTAGAGGAATAGTTTGATACTTTGGGGACTTTGCTTTCTTGCAGAGAGTTAGATGAGAAGATCAAAACCACTCTAAATACGGCTGGAAACGGGGAAACTGCTAACCTGGTTCTGTCCAAACTGTGTGTGGGATTACTTCGAGTCCTGTCAGCTTAACGTCGCACAGCAGTTTAAAGATAATGGCAGCAGATTTACCGTTGCAGTTACTGGTAATTTCTGATTTCAGACGGAGGTAGACAAAAGCAACTTCTCACTTATAACCAGCAACTTGTGAAAACAGCTAAGTGAGCTAAGGTTATTTCTATAAACTGGTTAAAAACTGTGTCTGGCTTTTTAATGACTCTTTAAAACGAGAGTCCTATAAAAAGTGTTAATGCACTCGATGGCTACATACATTATATAGTGCTAAAATACTAAATACTAAAGAAACTTATTAATATTAATAGTGTTATCAGTAAGAAAAATGTAAAATCAGACTTATTTTGTTAACAAAACCCATTTGGCTGCTTATCTTACTGATCTTACAGGTTGTTACATACACATGTTGTATGTATGTGTTTGGCAAACGTAACTTTGGTTACTAGTTTGGCTGCGATTAAAAAGAATAAAGATTAGCATTACCTCTAATAGCATCCAGGTCTGTCTTCCACACAGTGCTGATCACAACCTTTAACCCGTCTCACTAGTTTAATTAGTTAATTACGTGCTCCTTGGCTCTGGAAGTAATTCTCAGTTAAGTACTGTAACTGTTTTGGTCTCTGTAGTTAATTTACATGTTCACGAGTGTACGAGGGGTGAATATATATAACTCACCTGTTTAAATTATATTACGGCCTAAAATCATGAACAATTAAACCGTGGCCTCTGAGGGACAAACACTGACTACTGTTTGTTCTTATTCTGAAAAAGACAATATTTCTACTGAAGTGTTCACGACGTCTAATAATAATTATTCCACTATTATTCCCGTAAACTGTTAATAACTTTCTGAATTTCCCTCCTTTTTAAACTGTTGCTCAGTTTTCCACCAATGGCGCCTCGACCGTGCGAACGCAGCCTCTCTCTTTTATTCGCTCAACCACCTTCTTCATATCCAAACCTTTCACAATGTTTCCGACCAGACTTTTCTTTCCTGCATGCATCTTTACTGCAGCTTTGTAAACTGTTGGCTAGTTGGTTTGTTTACAACACAGAGCTGTGTTTTTTACAGTTTGGACAGTCGTTATGCTGCTTCCCTCTTTCTGGTCTCTATTCCGGCTTCAGCTACAAATAGAAAATTCAGGAAGTCCTGAATTACGAGCAGTCGAAATGAACTGAAGATGAACACAGTAACAGCTGATATGAACAACAGCTCTGAACGTTTTGTGTATTTTGAAGCGCTGTCAAGTTTGTCCTGAATCATTAATAACTTAAAGCAGATATGTGCAACAAGCTGCTGCTGTCAGAAATCTAAGAACCCTTTCATTAAATTATTAATCAGAGATAATTCCTGTTCCTGTCTGTTGTGGAAATGCTGACCGTCACATTCATCCAGCCCCCCCCAATCTCCCATAAGCCCTGAATGTCACCCAGTCTCATCCGGCCCCTTCAGTTACAGATATAACGGAGAGATTATGAGAGTGGCTTCAACCTTCTCATCTACCTTCCTGCAAGAGAGCGAATGAACTATTTCCTTTAACGCTGCGAGAGAAAGTTTGGTTGCTGCAGAGGAGGGGGGGGGCTCTGGGACGGGTCACATCACAGTAGCATATTGATATCAAAAGACCACCAAGGACACCGTTAAGACAAGAACCAACGCGGCTGAGGATCTAATTAATAACACTGATATTTTAAAACCCCCCGGGGGAAGTTCTCCTGACCGAGTCCACTGGCACTTAATACGTCTTAAAAGGATTCACGGTCTCAGTTCCGACTTCCTCCGGGTTTGGAAATGTCCTTGGTGCCCTTTTTGAAATGCGAACAATCTAAGGCATAAAAACAAAAACGGTATAAAGCTAATACCAGAGACATTCAGTTGTTCTCTCAACGTAACAAAAACTTAAATAATTGCATAAATAAAGCGAGTGATTATGAATCCGCACACGAGCGGCGTACAGGCTGATTATGTATGACACTACATATATAATGTTGGTTACATCGTAGAGTTGCAGTATTGAGGTAACTTCATAGTAAGGGGGGGGCGGGGGGGGGCACATGAACTGTACTGGGCTCTGTGTGGGAGCCGCATGCATTCGACAAAAGTGAAAATGTAAGATAGAGGTGTTAGTGTGCTGCGTCCCTTTCTGTTCGCATCCTTCAAGTTTTACATACAAAATAATGGCCGAAGTAAAGCGCCGATAATGACCTGGTGTTTGCGTGACATTAATACAGTCTGTGTACGGGAGGGGGGGGTAGATCAGGGCAGCAGGTTCACTCAGCGCAGAGTCCGTCCAGCGTCGTTGACGGCGACCATGTGATCCAGATGTTGCCGGTAGCCGTCCTGTCTCGCATGAAGTGAGGGATTCTGGTCGAGGAAACACGGCCAGATGGCGAAGCCTCTCCACGGTCTTCAAAAGACACCTGCGGAGGGAAAGGATATAACATGTACAACAGAAATCTGTGAATGCACAATGGCCACAGTTCACATCATTGTGTGCCGTAATGAAAACTGTCTGTCTGCACAACAATAAACCACAAGCTGCGTTCTAGTGGCGATAAGATCAGTGAGCGGTGTTAATGTGACTCGCAAACGTTTTACTGAACACGTAGGTTGATGTGTTGATCTTATACGATCTCTTTTCCTTCCTCTGGGTGACCACACTTGACTTTACCATCATCAACTGAACCTTTGTGCACCTGGTCTGTGGTGCAAAGTGAGACTTCTGCACATCTCATTAGCCGAATATGTCGCTTCATTTACTGTAGGCAGGAACACCTCCTTAACCCGGTACAGAACATTTTACTGTGAATGTTTATGATCAGATTAGATTTTACGATTTACACATTTATGTGGTTCGGAGACACAGAATAGACACACAAACACACACATATTTGTCTCTCTATACTTATATATGCTCTATACCCTCATTTACTTAATGCTTTTGCTAATCTTAACCTTAAACATCATAATTAAATATGTCTTAACCCCTCATAATACCTTTCCATCGAAGTATGTATGATGGAATTGATATTCACCTTTTTAGCCGACTCAACACCAACTCATCAACACCCAGCTTGACCCATATTTCGTTAATCTAGGGTCAGTAAATCTCATTTAAACGAAATTATATCGCATTTTTCTGTTCAGCTACAAATCTGAATAATTTTGACTATAGTTAATATAATAGGAATACATGTTTTACATTTTTTTAAATGGAGACACATAATCACACCTGTTGTCCTCTTCTGGTTTGACTGTTTATGAAGCACAACATATAAATTATCACCCAATTCTGTGTTTAACCTTTTTAGTCAACCTTATTCCAACTCATTACCACAAGTTTCTCCCTTCATTTTGGAATTCGTGGCCAATAAACTAAACTGTAAACTAAATTATAAATTATTATGGATTATCAGACTGGTTTATGTCAAATATTAGCCAGGACATCCTCAGCTCAGTATAGACTGACTGATGCAATTTAGGAGCAAAAAAACATTTTGATATTGAAGAGTGAACATTTATTTCCCTAAACCTTGAGCAGTTTCAACTTTACAAAACTTAAACATTTTAGAATAATTTTGGAAATCATTTTAATTACAAATTTGAAAACAAAAAAAAAACAATCCCAGCTTGTTTGCATGCGTGTGTGTGTGCTCTGTGGTGTGTGTGTGTCTGTGTGTGTGTTGTGTGTGGGTGTCTGTGTGTGTGTGTGTTTGTACAGTGTAACCCAATGACCCTTCTGGGGTCAATCCCGGTGGGGAAGAACACAAGTGTTCTAAAACTCAATCAAACACCCAAAATTCAGTGAAAGTGGTCAAAATTTGTTTTATGTGGAGCTCCCATACCATGAATCCTTCCATGTTATTTTAGTGAAATTAGATGAAAAAATGTATAAATATATTTATAAACGTAAACAACATTGAAACATTATGAGGGTTAAGTATAATTCCTAGACTCCAGGCACAATCGACCCACAAGAAGCATCACTGCTAACATCAAACTGTTGCTGTCGGTTGTTGTCTCTGTTTAGAAACCAAATAAAGTGCTGATCATAAAATAATTCTGTCGCTGCAGGGTTTTAACTTTCATGGAGTTTTGTGAACTTCATTTATTACAAAGTTCTATGAAACACAATTTCATTAGAAGAAATGATGAGTTGTCGGAATCATGACACTTTAAATTTAGTTATCTGTGACCTACAGTAAATAAACACAAATAAAAGGGGGAATGGGGCTTTTTGTTTGGGGCATACTGATGGCAGCATTTATGAACACAGCCCTTGCCTCTCTCATAATCATCTCTGGTTATAAGTTAAAGGTATGTTCTCAGATCAAACTGATCAAGAAGAGCTGCAGCATGTTGCGTCTCACCCACTCACCCTGGTGGTTTTCTTAGAATTGCTTCTCACATATATAAAACATGAGAAGGTGGAAAAAGCCATCAGACGCATTCACAGCAGATCACTTGAGACACGTCAGTTCTACACTGAAGACAGCATGAAGACGCTCGGCTTTGCAGTGGGACTCCTGCTGCTGTTCACCGTTTCCTACTGCACTGACGTACGTAAGTCTGTCACTCTACTTTCTGAACCAGACTGGGGATTAATTACATTTGGGGGGGGGGTCTCTTTTTCTGGATTTTTGTTACATTATTTAATTTTATTATACCATTACCTCAAGGATACCACATGCATAACTATATTAACTATATTAAAAGTAGGGATGCACCGATTTGGGCTGATACCCATGTTTAAAATAACAATTAGGCAATTTTAACTTTTTTTTGTCATTTATTAACAAACTACAAAGAAAGGCATAATGTCTGCGCTGCTGCTGTACGGACAACATCGGTACTTGCATGCAATTTGTGCTGGAAAACTGAGATTTTCTCCAGTAACGCAATATTTAGCCAGCTAGAAACTGATGCGACACAACAGATAAAAATCAGCCGCTGACATCGACTGATTTTGGTGCGTCCCTAAATGTGATAAAACTATTTGACTGTTGATTCTGAGTGTTAATGGCTATGTAATGAGGACCATAACCACAACTGTACAGATTTCAAGAGTTTCCTCAGTGCATTTAACCGCCTCCAGGTCTTTAAAAAACCTTTTGGGCTTTTCAGACTTTCTATACGCAGTAAAATGTTCTGTTACATTTGGAAACTCTGGACCGTTAATAGCATTTGTCCTGTTTGTGCTTTTGACTGTATTTTGTGTTTTTATCTTTATTTATTAAGATATTATTATTTTTATGTTCCGTTTTGGGTTTTTTGTTGGTGACGTCTTGTAACACTTATTACTTCTGTTTTGTGTTTATGCATTTAAATTTAATTAAGGACAAATAAAAAGTGTTGGGTCTTATTATTATATAAGGTTAATGCTAGACATCTCCGTACTGAGGAGAGGTAACAAAATGTTCTGTAAGTCAGTTAGGGCGTAGTATGTGCATAACTGCTCACAGTGTATTGACAAAGGAAGTTAACAATGAGAAAAGGGGAAGAAATGCACAAGCGATTAATCGCAGAAAATCAAAAGTAATCAAAAAATACGCAAAATTCAATAATTAATTCAAAAGTAGTGTATTGCCCACTTCTATTTTAAAAGTACTGCTATATGAAAAAGTGCATAAAATTTGGTTTGCACTTATACTATATAACTAACGCGTTAATTGCCCAACCTTAAATCATAATATTATATAATATTAAAAGTTCACATCAACACAGAAGAGTCCCATCTTCTGGATCCTGTAATTATTATATAATTTATAATTGTTTTAGACTTATAATCTTACCGATGCCTGATTTTAAATTACCCCCGCCCCCCCCCCCCCCCGCATCAAATGAATTTTGACTCTTAATACTATAATAATAAATCATACTCTACTCAGTTTACATTATACAGAGTATTTTACAGTGTCCAGTGGTGGTGACACAATCAGAGCTCCGATATTGATGTTTTCTGTACCTAAAACGCCCTGTAGGGGGCAGAAGCTGCTATTAAATTACCTTACAGAACAATCAGAGATATTTAAATGTTCTGTAGTTATCTTTACAACCTCACTGTGTCGGTTTTATGTTCTTCTTCCTGTTTGATTATTCCCATTATTCTGCATTTTATGGTATTTTGTTTTTATCTAAAACTCGAGAGCCGCTATGACAATAAAGTTTCCTTCCGTCAGCTTGTAAACGTACAGCAGGGTTTGTATATTGGTGATAAAGGCTCTGATTGGACGGCGTCGACACTGACCTTTCCCAAAGAGGTCAACATCTTGAAGTCGATGGTCCTTCGGTGCCGAAGGATTCGGAGGATCCCGTCCAGGTAGACCTGGTCTTTACTGAAGCAGCCTGGGACAGAAACACAGCACAAACAGAGCGTAAGAATAAAAGCACCTCTGTAAAGTTATTATTCTCTAATAAAACGGTTGGTTGACGGGGAGGACGAGTTCTTCTCACTTTCAAATAAATAGTGAATTTACTGTCCACCTGCTGCCATTTTCATAATAATGCATTATTGTTTATTATTAAGTTGACCTGTACAGTCTAATCCTCAGTCAGCGTTTCCCAAACCTTTTTACTGGGAACTCAAACACAAATTTAGCACATAAATAAACATTATTGACTATTTTTACTGCCGTTTCTGCGTCATATTGTCTTGAACAGGTAAAGCGGCCATTTTGAAGAGATGAAGGTTTTATGAATGTATTATTGAAAACAGACGTTAAATACTGTAAATAAGACCTTAAGAGGAGTTACTGTAACAGGCCTTCTCATTGTTCTTATTTACTCAACTTTACACACATTTTGAACTGAATTTAACTTTACTTCAATAGGTTCTGTTTTGTTATTTTTTTATTTTATGAGACAAAATGTCCATTTAGGAAAAATGAAGGCTCTCGATTTTTAACCCCATCAGTCAAACAATGAACAAAGTGCATTTAGTAAATTGAATTCAGATAAAATCTCCTGTGAGCTGCTCTCAGATCAGATCTTCACCATCCACTGACTCTTTAAGTCCAGACTCAAAACCTTTTATTCTCTAACCTCTGCTGATCTCTCGTCTGTGTTGTGTATCTGTACCTGTCTGTGTTTCTTTATATATTTGTGTTTCTCTTAATACGGATGTTTTTAAATATCCTTAATAAATAAATCTGCCTTTTTCTACCTTTACAAAGTGTATAATGTTTAGTTTGTGTTGGTGTGTTTATTACTGAAGTCGTAAAAGGTAAAGGTGTTAAAGCCTCTATTACAAACGAAACCTGCACTTCATCACTTTCTGCTCTTTTTAAAGACATTCAAGTTTGTCTGCAACACATCTGTACGTTTATTCACTGAAAGCTTCAATTAAGCTAATTAAGACAAACAGTAAATGAACCGGCTTCACATGTCGGCTGTAATACTTTTGATATTTTTTATTGTTTGTTTAGATACGCGTGATACATGCTCACCAGCATCCAGTGCTGTTTACAGAGATACGAGATAATGTTTGCTTCTAAAGAAACATTACACAGTACTGAGAGTACAGGATACGTAGTGTGCGTGTGTGTGTGTGTTGTGTGTGTTGTGTGTGTGTGTGTGTGTACTCACCGGGCTGCGAGGTGTCCGTCTGTCCCTCCTTGGCTCGCAGGCAGTACTCCCAGCGGACGTCCGGGTCCTGGACGAAGCGAGCGATGTGGCTGAAGAGCTGGCTGAAGCTCATGCTGGTGGCGTGTACACCGTGTAGTAGAGCAGAGCCGCTCGCCCACAGGTAGGGCTGTTTCCGTAGCAACACGCTGTGCAGGCTGGCCAGGCCCTCCTCCGTGGGATTGGCGGTTTGAGGCCGAACTGCTTCCTGCCATCGGCGGTGGCCCACGGCTGCAGGTTGTTGTTCACCCCTCGCAGGTATGTGTGCCTGAGGAGAGGACGGACGGCAATCAAATAAATAAAATAATCAATAAATAAAACAAAATTCAATCAATTATTGTTCAGCGGCACAAACTATACACATTCTGTAAATGTTATTGTGTTTTATTCTGTCTTAACTGATATTATTTAATAATTTAATCAAATGTTATTGGAATAAAGTTTTATGATTTAAGGTTATTTTTGTCAAATGTAATTGAAATCTCTTTTTTTAAACAAAGTTTAAGGTCAGATATTTCTTTTAAGAGAAATAGTTTTTTTAGACAATATGATAATTAAAGAAGAATAACATCTTTTATTTATAGAGAACCTTTAAAAATCAATGTTACAGAGTGCTTCACAAAAAAAAAGGATTGAGTTATAAAACATCAATTTAAAAAGAAAAACATTAGAATTAGGTAGCCCGCCTAAAGCATACCCTGCTTTATGGTCTGTTTGACTCTAAAATGGGACCATCAGTTACTAAATGAACATCATGCTGTATGGAAGAAGACTGAAACTAGAGACTGAGACCAGAAACTCATCAGGAAACTGGTTTACTGAGCTCATCAATCAACTGAGAAGTCGACTCATTTCCCATAAGACTGAATGGTATCAGAGTGTTATTGCAACCAGATGGAGCTGCCCCTGCTGGTTGTTACAGAGAATGCAGGTTTATAGACATTTGTCCTGTTTATAAAACATCCACCTGCTCTTCAATCTCTGAGTTTTAGTCCAGATCTTAATTAAATGTACGCTCACTGTGGATAACGGACCTAACCCCTAAGACTGTTAGCTGATGATGATGATAGATGATGATGATGATGATATGATGATGATGATGATCGAGATGAAGTGAAGATTACCTATCCTCGTGTCTCAAGCATCCCCTCCAGCCAGTGCTGCCGAGCTCCCCCAGGTTGATGGTCAGAGTGGGACGACAGCTCTCCACCACCATCACCCACGCCTGAGACAGCAGCTCGTCAGACGAGCCCAACAACCTGGAACACACAGACAGACGTCACCGTCACTCCTGGGACAGAGCGCCACCCTCACACCGCACCGCTGGGACAGAGCGCCACCCGTCCATTTTTTTTTTTTTTTGCTGGGAGAGCCGCACCCGTCCCAACCGCCTGGGACAGAGCGCCACCTGTCCCAGTTGTTCCCGGTAACTTAAGAGCTCTCGAGACATTCCTGCTGACTTGCTGAGAATTACCACAGTTCATAGTGTTGTGACATTAAACAGTAACAGAACAAACAGGAGTGGTACAAGAAAAAAAAAAAGACTGCGAGGAAGTAAAATGATTATTTTGTTTCCCGTTGACCTCGAGCTCTCGAGCTTATTACCAGCTGACGTCAACTACAGTTCTGTGGAGGGTTAAGTTCTAAAGGTGGAGACGGGGATTGAGCCAAAGTGTCACATGTGTTCGGTGCTCGTGTTTTCCTCCTCTCCTCCCTCTCTCTCCCTTCTCCCTCCCTCCTCAGGTGCTCCTATCGGGCTGATTGGTTGGTTCTCTCTCTCTCTCTCCGTCTCTTCCTGTATTCTCTCTCTCTCTCTTTCTCTTTCCTCTTCTCTTTCTCTCTGTTTAACTTTTTGTTTTTACTCTTTGAGGACGGTCGTCCAGCTTTTGTGTGGATTTGGCATGTATATAATTAAAATCCTCTTCCTCGTGTATCGCTTATTGGGTCAATTTATTTTAAATGCAGCTGTGTTTGGGACCTCAATGCTGTCCGCGCGAGCGGAAGGTCACTGAACTAGAACTGGATGACTGGATGACACTGGATGAACTGGATGAACTGGATGTAATACAACACACACAGCTTTCAGGATCTTGGGGTTTGTGTTTCTTGAGGTTTTTTTTTTACAGTTTTTGTTAGACAGATGATCTGTGTGTCAGGTATGACCCAACACATCATAGGGTTCCACTGTTTGTAAGAGTCATTTCAAGGAGTTTTTCTTGACATGTTAGGTATCAGTTAACTGCTTACAAATGTTAAATAGTAATTTACCAGAAGGCTGTATGTTCCGCTGCGTACTCTCCAGTGAATGACAACATTTCACTACAGCTTTCCTCCACCTAAGCCCCTAAAATGTTAAATATAAGTAGAATTTAATTCTGGTATTTTACAGAAAAGTCACCTTCTAAATCTTTAATCAGTCATTAACCAATTAAAACAGAACAGAATATTTGGTCATTTTAACACAAACTCCAGGTTTCTGTGACTGGAAACTAGTTCTAAACTTCCAGGTTTTTCCAGCTGATTTGATGACTCGGAGTATCAGGACATTGAGGACAATCTGAAGGTTTATTATTATCTTTATTTATTCCTTTATTATATTTATTTTCCCCCTTCTCACTGTTTATGTATTGTTTGTTGTTTAAGGTCACGCCTGCGTGCTTTATTGTATTGAGCGTGTTTTGTAAAATACAAGCCGAGGTTATTCGAGTTACTTCTGCTTTATTTTTAACTTTTTCTGCCTCCTGTGTTTTCTGTTCTGTCAACTGTCGGCAGATTAACACAATCAATTTCTCCTCAAGAGACTTTTCCACAGAGAACACAAGAAGATGAAACTAGAGATGAGAACAGACAGGAACAGGAAACTGTTTACTGAGCTCATAAATCAACTGAGAAGTCGACTCATTTCTCCATAAGGACTGAATGGAATCAGTGTGTTAATTGCAACCAGTGTAGCATGCCCCTGCTGGCTGTTACAGAGAATGAGGTTTGAACTAAAGCTGGTTATGACTTGTCGTGTTGTTGATGATGGTCGGCTCTAACCAACCTCTCACGCAGCTTCCTTCTGCAGATATTGCGTACGGCCCCAGATTGCACTTTTCGGGAGGACGCTGCCGGCCGTCCTTTCCTCGAAGTTTCTAGGAGCCGAACTTCCTCAGGTGACGCACTCCATATTCCAACGCCTGCAGGACACGGAAACATCACCATCATCACATCACCATCATCACAATCAATCATATAACCATCATGACATCACCGATCATCAACCGTCACCCATCATCATCACCATCATATCACCATCATCGTTGTCGTGTGACTCTCAGGTGAATCTGCGTGACGTACCTGTTCGAGGAAGAGTAACGTCCTCCCGGTAACTTCTCCAGCACGCTCCCTCCGGCTCGGGCTGCAGGTTACTCGAACTGCGGCTGTACTTGTAGTCGGACTTGGAAGAAGGTTTTTTCTCGTGCTCCCAGGTTGAGCGGCCTGAGGGGAGAGCAGGCAGGCCGAGCGGCTCGGGCGGGCCGCGCTCCCACGCCCTTCGCTATGTGAGGGAGGGACTGCGCGGTCGCCATTCTGCCCCTGCCGGCCCGCAGCCCCCGGGAGTCGTTGCGGAGCAGAGGTGCTCTCGCTGCGGCGCATTCCAGCGCGGCGCCGAGGCTGGGGCTGGTGATGCTGCGAGCAGGCGGCGAGGGGCGGCCGACCCGCCTGCGCCAAGGGGCTGCACGATTCCGCCTGTCCGCCATCTGCTCCTGAGACCCTCGAGCCCTGGGGCGTCATTCCAGGCTGAGGGGAAGGCGGAGAGGCCGTCGGGCGTGGGCCAACCGCCTTTGGCGTGGTGGCCGCCGCTTTGGGCGTGCGCTGCCAGCCTTTTGGGGCTGCGCCGCCTTTGGACGACCTCCATGTCTGCTACCTGGCCTGCTGTTGGACTGCTGGGAGCCCGTTGTGGGACCACCTTCCCTTCTTGGCGCGCGTCTCTTGGCGCGTCTGGGCGTCGTCGCGGCCCTTCTAGGTGGATCTGCTCGGAATCCGGCTCCCTGCGCTTTCACCCTCAACCTGATCCTGAAGACTTTTCACTTAGTCCAACACCATCAACACAAGCCGCAACGCTCCCCGCCTCCACCTGCCCCGCCTCCGGCCCGGCGGCGGCAGAACGGGAGATTTTACTGCTGGCATTGCTGCGCGGCTGATTAGATCTAGAGTTCAGACCCCAGTCACAGTTGCTGGTGGAGACTACACCAAGCTCCCATCAGCTCTGAGAGTTAACTTAATCAACTGTTTGAGTCCACAAGAGACAGAAACAGTTCTCAGTGAATCACACAGAACAAATCAGTTCAACCGTTAACCACGAACAAGCAAAACTGTTACCCGCTGGCAGCGACTTCTGGGGACTGATTGGTAGATTTAATCGGGGGTCCGCTCATCATCCGCGGCGGCTCAGACTGACGGCGGATTACCGGTTCAGGGTGCAGCGGAGGTAGCGGTTCAGGGTGGCAGCGGGTACCGGTTCAGGGTGCAGGCGGGTAGCGGCATTCAGGGTGCAGCGGGTACCGGTTCAGGGGTGCAGCGGTAGCGGTTCAGGGTGCAGGCGGGCGAGGAAGCGGCATTATGTGTTGGAAGATATGACGCGTTACGCCGGAACGCCGCGCCGGACGTTTCGTCGTTGCGTCATTACGTACAACGAGCTGGGGGCCGGAAATGATCAAAGCGAAGGGTCTAAATAATATAATTGTTTATTTATTGTTATTTACGTTTTTTAATATATATTGTTTGTATTTGTTTGTTTTTTTTAAAAAAGAATAATTTAATTTATCAATGAATTGTTTTGTGTTCATTTCTGTTACTGATATTATAAATTTTGTTATTGTCACCGTTGCCGTGACTATTGTTATTTGTTTTCTTTAATAAAATGTAATTCTAGATTCCTGCTGAAAGTGTAAGAACGGGTTGGGTTTTAAATTAAAGTTATTGGGGGAAAATAGATCAATAAAGTATACAGCTGTCTTAAAAATATTAAATCTGATTTAATCCATAATATACCAGTTACTTTTCCTCCAGTTTATTATAAATTAGGAGTAACTTTAAAAAAAGGCTAATTATTTCTTATTAATAATAATTAATAAATTAACTTTATTTATATCCACATTTTAAAAAGCAGAATTTTACAAAGTGGGCTCTGTAGTAACGGAAAGCCGAGGCGGCATAGTGCAATCTTACCGGTAGCTACAGAAAGCCGTCGTGGCAAAGCAAGCAACCATTATTCGAATAGATTTGTTTCAGGAATGAAACGATCTTTGTTATATCAAGATAACAAAGATAATAACGTCGTTATCACAATATCACGCAAATGCAAATAAAAAAAAAGAAGAAATCCATGGCTGTTCTCCGGCTTCCGTAGATTCCCTACTGTAGGCGAGGCTTGAATACACAAATATAATTAAATATAAATCGCAATAATGAATACCAAATTACAAAAATGTAAGATAAATATTCAGCGCATGAAAATAAATGAAAATATATATTCCATATGTATTGTTTTGATGATAAAAGTTAGTTTGTCTTTAGACCATGATTCTTATAAATAAATTCAATCTGATGTGGCTGAACATTGTCTTG